CGGTCAGCACGCACCCCGGGAGAGGTCCGGGGAGTAGCGGCATCGGTGCCTCCTGGCTTCCCCCTCCTCGCGCTGGCACGCTCTGGGCGCGTCTGCTTTTTCTGGCCCGCGGGAGCGCTCCGTCCTGCCCAGGTGCGCCGTGTGTTGGGGCGCCCGGCTGCGCGCGTGCCCTGCGGGGGCGGCGAGGCGGGGACGCGCACGGGAGGGCGAAATGCTGCGCTCGGCAGGGTGCTGCGCAGATTCACCACCCACCAAGCCACCCCAACCCAACCCGAAGCCTTCAATTTGCCCTCCATTTCCAGCGGGGGGGGTCGGGGAGCGTTGAGAAAACACACGGAGCCCGTACCCCCCCCAACCCGAAATTGGGGTCAGATTCGGGTCTTCGGGTTGGGTTGGGGTGGTCTGGCAGGTAGTCACAGATGCTGCCCGAGAGTGGCGCTCTCGCCTTGGCCGCAGCGAGTGAGTACTGTCTTCGCCGCTGCTCTCGTGCGTCTGGCCGCGCGCGAGAGGGAGGGCTGGCCGGTGCTCTCGTCGAAGCTTGGAGCGTCGCGCGGGCACTTTCTCTGGGAGCGCCGCCCCGTCGGAGCTGGGGCCGTTCGCGAGCGTGTTCCGTTCGATGGGGGGGAACGCGCAGCAGTCTCCACATCCCAGTATTGTTTCGTGTGCCATGGGAGGCGGAGTGCGGAGTGGGTGGGGCCTTATGATTCGTTCGAGCTGGCCAGGTTGATTTTTACCTCTTTCTGATCGTCGTTCGTCGTGTTATTGTGAACCCCATGCGAGACTCTGCTCTGCGTTAGTAGTACGATTGCTCCTTTCTCCAGCGCCCTGATACTGGGCCAGCCATGGACCATTCCAGATTATTTCTCTTCAGAGCAATGCGAAATCAAAGCGTAACGCTGTGTCGTCGAGTGTTATTGAAAGTGTGGTAGCGATCGGACGGGGCGCGGGTCACGCGCAAGAGCGCGAGCGCGCGACGTGTTGCTCTCGCCTCCGCTCCGTGCCCATGTCTTCTGACGGTTGCGCTCACGATCGAGCGCGACGCGGCGCATACTTGTGAGTAGAAATCGGGTCCGCGCGCGCGCGCTCGAGAGAGAGGGAGAGAGAGCGAGAGAGAACTGCCGCCGTCGCCCAGCGCACCGCGCAGTTTTCCCTACCCAGGCTCTGCCTAGAAGGGTTCTTACTGTGTTTGCTTAAAGGGGCCGGGCAGTGCTCCCCGCCCCGGGCGGTTCCCCCAGGATCCGCCCCGCGGTTCCCCCAGTTACGTCCCTTTAGCTTAGCGTTGCTTATCTCATCTTAGCTTAGCTTAGTTCATCTTAGCTTAGCTTAGCTTCATTTTAGCTCAGGTGTATTCCCTACCTAGGCTCGTCCTAGAAGGGTTATTACTCTCTTTAGCTTAGCTTTAGCTTTAGCATTAGCTTTAGCTTTAGCTGCCGCTTCAGTTGTAGCATTAGCTTTAGCTTTAGCTTTAGCTTTAGCTTCAGTTGTAGCATTAACGTTAGCTTTAGTTTTAGAATTAGTTTAGCTTTAGCGTTAGCTTAGCTTTAGTTCAGCTGTAGCCTAGCGTTAGCTTAGTTTTAGTTTAGCTTTAGCTTAGCGTTAGCTTAGCTTTAGCTTAGCTTAGCTTTAGCTTAGCTTTAGCTTAGCTTGAGCTTAGCTTTAGCTTAGCTGTAGCTTAGCTTTACCTAAGTTTAGCTTAGTGTTAGCTTAGCTGTAGCCTAGCGTTATTTTATCGTTAGGTTAGCTTTAGCTTAGCTTTAGCTTAGTTGTATATTAGTTGTAGCGTAGCGTTAACTTAGTTTTAGCTTAGTTGTAGCTTAGCTTTAGCTTAGCTTTAGCTTAGCTTTAGCTCATATTTAGCTCAGATTTAGCTTAGCTGTAGCCTAGCTTTAGCTTAGCTGTAGCTTAGCTTTAGCTTAGCTTTAGCTGAGCTTTAGATGAGGTTTAGCTTAGCTTTATCTTAGCTTTACCGTTACTTCGAATGCTGCTTTCCTAGGGGCTCCAACTCCTAGGTAGGGTCGCACTGGGATAAATTTCTGAAGCGTGCGTTCCCGCTCGGGCCCGTCGCATGCTTGTCGATTGCCAATCCTACGGGAAGCGTGGCCGCTAGCCTCAACGCCCAGGTACGGCCCTCCCGCTTTGGTGCGGCATCGAGTGTGGAGGGAGGCAGAGAGGGAGGGAGGAGGAGGGAGCACAGAGCAGAGAGGGAGGAGGGAGGAGGGAGGGAGGGCAAGTTCTTCCCCCTCCTTCTCCTCGTTGTCCTCCTCCTTTTTCTCCTCCTTCCTCCTCCCTCCTCCCTCCTTTATCATTCTCCTCCCTCCTTCGCCAGAGCGCCCACCACCTCATATTTCTTCTGGAGCAGCATGACGTAGCGGGCACTCTGGCGAAGACTCAGAGGCGGCGAGGGCTCAATGGGAGGCCGAGGGAGGATCAGAAACGCCAGAAACGTTTTCGCTAGCCTGGATATTTTCTTCCGTCCTCGACGAAGACGAAGACGTCAGGGGCGACGTGGCACTTCGATGTCGCCTGTGGGAGGAGGAGGAGGATGAGGAGGAGGACAAGTGTAAATCCAAGATTGTCCAACGATGTTGTAATCTACCCTCCCTCCAAATTCTGTCTCAACCGGTCCCTGGGAGAATTTACCCGTAAGGGCGTCGCGCTCTGCCGCGGGCCCCCTCTCTATCAGAATTGGAGGTTTTAGGCCTCCTATGCTGGATCGGAGCAGATGCGGTCGGAGGATTGTGTCGAATCGCCGACGCGTCGCCGATGCAGCTCGATGTAAAGCCCGGCGTCCTTCACTTTGACGTAGCAGATGTCGGGAGCCTTGAGATGGCGGTCAATGCAAATGGGGGTCAGCCAGAGCGCCGGATCTTGCAGGATGCTGCAGGGCCAGGGTCGCATTGACCCGGGCTTGGGTGCAGCATCCTGCAGGATCCTGCAGGATCTTGCAGGATCTTGCAAGGCCTGACTGACCCGGGTCTGGATTGACCCGGGTCAGTACGTCCCCGAAGATGCATCGCCCGCGTCGGCGATGCATCGCCAATGCATCGCCGATGCATCGCCGATGCGGCGTGAACCTCCGACCCCATCTGCTCGGACCCTATCTAGGAGGCCTCTAGAGATGCGGGAGCTATATTGGGGTGCTTGGGTGCCGACTTGAAGCAATTTCGGAGCCTCATGCGAGGACGGCTGGTAATCGTGACGCCATTTACAAGAATCGTTTCCTCGGGAGCGCGACCTCGACGCAGTTTACAAGGGATCGTCGCCTCGGGGGCGCTGTTCTGACGCAACGTCAAAGGATTGTGGTTTCGGGGGCGCGACTCCAGTGTGATTCACAACGGATTCCATGGGAGCGCAAATCTGAGGGAATTTGCAAGGGACTCTAGCCTCAGAAGCGCGAGTCAGGTGTAATTCAGATGGGGTTATGGTCTTGGGAGCGCGAGCCGGTGGAATTTGCAAGGGGTTCTGGCCACGGGAGCGCGATGCTGGCGTAATTTTTAAAACATTGGCCTCGGGAGCGCGAATCTAGCTCAATGTGCGAGGGATGTTGGCTTAAGGTCACGAAGCTGTGGTGTAAATCACAGGGAGGAGTCTGGCCTCGGTAGCTCGATCTTGGCGCACTTCTATATCTATATATATATATAATATATATATATATATATATATATATATAACGCAACAAACTGGCGCCTGGTGCCATGTTGAAGTCGGGCGTGTCCCTCTACAGGACAAATCTTCAAAAATTGTAAAAACAGAGTCTGGGGGCGATTGTTCTACTATGTTTGACTATTGTGTTATATTGTTTTGGCTATGTTTGATTTGTTGCTCAAAATCCGCCTGTAGGGGGGCACGCCCGACCTAACGCAATGTATAAAGGATGATTGCTTCAGGGGCGCGAATATTTCGTCTTTGTTCGATCACAGACCCACCAGAAACTCAGGTGACGCGAATCGGGCGTGGTGGCCTGGGTGGTTTTCGCCCCCCCCCCCCCCCCCTCGCGCGGATACGGACACTAATAAGCTACAGAAGGAAGCAACCCATAGATTTATAACACTAGAGACTAGAAGCTGGCACTGGCGCAGGAAGCAGGAAACCTCCGCCACGCAGCCCGATGGCCCCATAAGGGGGCCAGCGGATTTTCATTGCAAGAAGAGGCCCATTGAAAGACAACCGTCCAAATAGTTCAAAAGGAAGGATCTCAATCCCGCAGATTCCCCCAAAGGAGATCGATATGATGTCTCGCCAGGAGTAGCAAGAGGCAGCAACACAAACGTGTTACATTATAATGCTATAGGATTCGGACACCCTCCAATTCCTAAAGCTGTCTGATAATCCTAAACCGTTCCGAAACACAATTCCTGGGACTCCAGTGCCGCATATCAGCGTGACAGTTGCGTCCTGGCAATATTCCAATGTGCTTGAACACCGTTCCTGGGACCTCCACACCGCGAATCACCGTGACACATGCGTCCTGACAGTCTTAAGTCATGCCAGAACGCCGTTCCTGGGACTTCAGCCCTACGGTTCCTTGAAACTGGTGTAAACTCTTAAAACGAATGTTCGCGGCGCCAAGACGAGAGCCACATTTTTGATGAAAGGAGCCAGCCTCCATCCTTGAAGCTGTTGCGTATTTTTTAGACGAGTGGACGCGGCGCTAAGGCGAGAGCCACAGTTTGACAATTGACCCTCAATCTCCAGGACCCGCAATGGCGAGGAGGTCTGGGGCTCAACGCCCCGCCTGGCCGCCTGAGGACACGTCGGGGTACAGGGCGGATCTAGTTGGGAAAGCCAGGAAGGATGTGGAGGGAGATGGAGGGAGGGAGGAGGGAGGAGGGAGGAGGAGGGAGGAGGGAGGAGGAGGGAGGAGGGAGGAGGGAGGAGGAGGAGGAGGAGGGAGGAGGAGGGAGGAGGAGGAGGGAGCAGGGCACAGGAGGGAAGAGGAGGGAGGGAGGAGGAAGGAGGACGACAGGAATTCCGATCTCGTCCTGGGGGGGGGGGGCGCCATGGCCTCGCCTGCCTTCTCCGCCGTGCCCGACGAGGTCCTCGCGCGGGTGATGTGGGCGCACCCACGCCGGTGCGGGTTGGGACCCTCCTCGTTACATCCACTGGCCCAGTCTCTCCGCCACACTCCTCCCTCCTGTCCCTCCTCCCTCCTCCCTCATCCTCCCTTCTCCCTCCTCTTCCTTCCTTCCTCCTCTTCCTCCCCCCCCCGCCTCTTCCATCCCTCTCGTCCTCATCCTGCGTCCTCCTCATCCTCGTCCTCCTTCCGCCTCCTTCCTTTCCTCCTCTTCCTCCTCCTTGGCCGCGCTCCACCTCCTCCTCCTCTTCCTCCTCCTCCTCCTCCCCTTTGCTTGGTGTGGATCGAGCGCGGCTGCTTGTCTTGCCTCGGAGGGATCATATCGAGTCTCAAGCGGCGCATGTGGCGGCTGGATCGAGCCTCAAGCGAAACTTGCAGCTGCAAGCTCGAGGAACCTTAGGGGCCGAGTCTCCAGGGGCTCGACCTGTGGAACTTTTTTTGACGGTGTGCCGGCCGATCCTCGGCGGACGGCCTCCCATCTCCTCCAGCGAGAGTGATGGTGCGCGCCCCGGAGCCGCCCGCTGTGTGGTATGCCGGTAGACTTGGCAGACTTCTTCGTTTGGGGTTGTTCGACTACACGTAAGAGTGACCTTTCGCCGGAGTGACCTTTCGTGCGGGCACAAGGGGGTCCCCCGATCACCTAAAGCGATGCGATAGTAGCGTCTTGCGCGCCTGAGTTCGGTCCCCCCGCGGCCCCCCAAAAGCCGCGCACCAAAGGTCACTCTTACCCAGGGTCACTCTTGCGCGTAGCCGAGTTGTGTTGGTACTTCTGTCATCGAGCACTTCCTGCCGATGTCCAGTTCAGCAGCACGAGTGGTGGCGAGCGCTCCCTCCAGGCCAGCGTGCACTTCGCGCCATGTCGGTGGGAGTGTCATAGCTCTTGCGTCGAGCGCTTCCTCACGAATGTCTGGTCTGACTGGTACAGAGATTGTCTTGTTAAGCACGGCGTCGAGCGGCCCCCCTTGGCCAACTTGCACTCGCAATCCGGAAGCCGTCGTGCTTTTTGACGACGTGCTGCGCTGCTTCGTCTGTCAGTGGCGCACCTCGCGGATTGCAGGCCAGGTGAATCGTTGTCCCATCCTTTGCTTCCTGCTCCCAGGTATTCGATCACTGACCCCTTGTTGATCGCAACCGTCCAGCTTGCGTGCCGAAGACCGCCAAAGACCGCCGGAAGCGGACGAAGACCGCCGAAGACCGCCAGACGACCGTCGGGAGACTGCCGGGACACCGCCGAAGACCGCCAGAAGACCGCCCGCAGACCGCCGCAGACCGCCGACGACCGCTCCTAAGGCCGCCCAGGGCCAATGGGCAAGCAAGGAGCCCATCGTCGCACGCATGAAGCATAAGCTTCTCTTTCCCCTGCCTCAGCCCTTTGTGCCGATCGCAGGCCCGCAGTGCACGATCGTCGCTTCTGCGACGTCTGCGCTGGCCCCCGGTTCTCCTGGGGATGGCGCCCACCGCCTCGGGGGGAGGGGGAGGGGGGGGGGGGGCCGCTAGGGTCGGCTCGCTCTCAGAGGCTCCTCGTGCCTTGCCACCTCGCCGCCCCCCCACTTGCGATCTCGCTCTTCACCAGATCTCAGGAGGGGAAAAACATACAGACACAATGAACCGTCGATTCCCCAGAGAATATGGGAAAGTATGTGAAGTGGTGGGGAAGAGGAAAGTATGGGAAAATATAGGCTGCCGCGTATGATTTGGACCGCAGGCCTTTCGTCACGCGGCTCGTCTCTTTTTGTCTCCCTTTTCACGGCTTGATGGTAGAACATTTGCATTCAGACTCGAGCGTTCGACGTCTCGATGGTTGCCATGCTCTGCTCCGTTTTACGCTGCGGCACAGCGTCGTGGTGGAGTCTTGCATTGATCCAGGAACAGATGTTGCACATGCACTGCGCGGGGTCGTTTTGCAAAGATCTGCGTTGGAGCACGTTCTTCAATATTGTTGTAACCCGTCATGTATGTGTTAGCTCTGTGTGTTCAGAACGTTTCTTTCATTTGCCTGGCATCGCTCTGCTGCGGATTGCTTTCACGTCGGTGCGTAGATAATGCCCAGTATTGCATTGCGCAGTGCGTCAGTTTCTTGCCCTTGACCTGTGTTGCGTATCATCGTCCTGCCATGCATACTGGCCTTTCGCAGTGCAGTGCATTCCGTTGCACTGCCTTGCATCGTTGTGCTTTGCGTGAGGGTGAATTTGTTTTGCGTAGCTTAGCTGCGCGGTTGCAATGTAAGTGGAATGCAGCGTAGCTGCGCTGAAATTAATATTGCCACTCTGCAGTCCATAGCGAGGCAAGCCAAACCATCCATGTTGAGACGCATCAGCATGCCATGCGAGGCGAAGTGTGCAAAAGCTGGATAAAACAGCTCACATCGGAACATGCTGAGGCAACTTATCGATACTCAGCAATGTGGCGCATCCAGAGCAGAGGAACGCCTTGCCGCACTACGCGCTGCAACAGCAAGGCTGGCTTATAAGTTGCAGAGACAGGCAGAACAAGCCGTTGGACTTCGAGCCCAGGTAGCGCACCGCCGTACCCTCTTAGAGAGCAGCTGCGCCTCGCCAAGGGCCCGGCGGCGGCGCTGGCGCTCATGCCGGCTCGACCCCTGTTGCCCGACCTACGGCTGGAGTCACCGAGCGCGTTCCACTACTCGCAACGTGCCTGCTCGCCAGCGTCCGAAAACTCGTGTTGGCCCCGGTGCAGTGGATCGCGCATCCCCCGCGGCGAGTCCAGGCCATCCGCGAGCAGCCACTTCTGCGAGGCGTGGAGCGCGCTCGTCTGCAGCCCCGTGAGGTCGGCCAGGCTTGCGGAGCTGGCGCTCCCAGAGGCCCGCACTCCCGCGCGCCCCGCAGGTGGAGGGCTGCAGCCCTGTGGGGGCCGCGGGGGGCCGGCGCCAGGCCCCCGGGGAGCGTGGGGAGCTTCTGTCCTGGGGCGTGGCTCGAGACCTGGGGCCGACGTCCTGACAACGGGCGTCCCGGGGTGGCGCACCCAGACCTCCAACGTATTGAAAAAATCGAGGCGAAGGTTTTTCTCGACTTTCGGCCTCTAGGGGCCCTCGCTGGGCCCTGGGACCGTCAAAAAACGACTCTGGATGAGAAACCGGTCCTGGGGAATGGGTCGAGACTTCGGGGGGCCGCGTATTGACAAAAATCACGACGTCGAATTTCTGGGCACGTGGCTCGAGACCTCTGGGGCTTTGTGGGCCCCGGAAACGGCAGGGCCGTTTTTATCACCGTTTCCACAAGAATGGCCCTTGAAAAAGGAAACGGCAAAAACGGCGACCAGAAACGGCAAAACATGTGTTCCAGGATTGGAACCGGAGCCGGAACCGGTCATAAAAACAGCGTCGGAACCGGCATAAAAACGGCAAGATGGAACCGGTAAAGAAACGGCCCTGTGGTTTCCAGACCAACTAAGCTCTGGGGTCGACGGCATGAAAGCCATCGTGGCATCGGGGGTCTGGGGACTGGCGCATCCAAACGCCAGTCTCGCGCGTCGGGGCCGCACGTGGCTCGAGACCCCTGGGGTCGACGGCATGAGAGCCATCGTGGCATCGGGGGTCTGGGGGTGGCGCATCCAAGCTCAGTCTCGCGCGTCGGGGCCGCACGTGGCTCGAGACCTCTGGGGTCGACGGCATGAAAGCCATCGTGGCATCGGGGGTCTGGGGGTGGCGCATCCAAACGCCAGCCTCTCGCGTCGGGGCCGCACGTGGCCCGAGACCACTGGGGTCGACGGCATGCGAGCCGTCGTGGCATAGGGGGCCTTTGGGTGGCGCATCCAAACGCAAGTCTCGCGCCTCGAGGCCGTACTTGGCTCGAGACCTCTGGGGTCGACGGCATGAGAGTCGTCGTTGCATCGGGGGTCTGGGGGTGGCGCATCCAAACGCCAGTCTCGCGCGTCGGGGCCGCACGTGGCTCGAGACCGCTGGGGTCGACGGCGCGAAAGCCATCGTGGCATCGGGGGTCTGGGGGTGGCGCATCCAAGCGCCAGTCTCGCGCGTCGGTGCCGAGCGTGGCTCGAGGCCTCTGGGGTCGACGGCATGAAAGCCATCGTGGCATGGGGGGTTTGGGGGTGGCGCATCCAAACGCCAGTCTCGTGCGTCGGGGCCGTGCGTGGCTCGAGACCTCTGGGGTCGACGGCATGACAGCCATCGTGGCACCGGGGGTCTGGGGGTGGCGCATCCAAACGCCAGTCTCGCGCGTCGGGGCCGCACGTGGCTCGAGACCTCTGGAGTCGACGGCATGACAGCCACCGTGGCGTCAGGGGTCTGGGGGTGGCGCATCTAACGCCAGTCTCGCGCGTCGGGGCCGCACGTGGCTCGAGACCTCTGGAGTCGACGGCGCGAAAGCCATCGTGGCATCGGGGGTCTAGTAGGGGTGGCGCGTGCAAACGCCAGTCTCGCGCGTCGAAGCCATCGTGGCATCGGGGGTCTGGGGGTGGCGCATCCAAGCGCCAGTCTCGCGCGTCGGGGCCGCACGTGGCTCGAGACCTCTGGAGTCGACGGCATGACAGCCACCGTGGCGTCAGAGGTCTGGGGGTGGCGCATCCAAACGCCAGTCTCGTGCGTCGGGGCCGCGCGTGGCTCGAGACCTCTGGGGTCGACGGCATGAAAGCCACCGTGGCATCGGGGTCTGGGGATGGCGCATCCAAACGCCAGTCTCGTGCGTCGGGGCCGCGCGTGGCTCGAGACCTCTGGGGTCGACGGCATCAAAGCCACCGTGGCATCGGGGGTCTGGGGGCGGCGCGTCCAAACGCCAGTCTCGCGCGTCGGGGCCGTGCGTGGCTCGAGACCTCCGAAGGCGACGGGGCGAGCGCCATCGTGGCATCGGGGGTCTGGGGGTCGCGCATCCAAACGCCAGCGTCGCGCGTCGGGGCCGCGCGTGGCTCGAGACCTCCGGGGCCGACGGCATGACAGCCATCGTGGCATCGGGGGCCTGGGGGTGCGCACCCAAACGCCAGGTTCGCGCGTCGGGGCCGCGCGCGGCTCGAGACCGCTGGGGTCGACGGCGCGAAAGCCATCGTGGCATCGGGGGTCTGGGGGTGGCGCATCCAAGCGCCAGTCTCGCGCGTCGGGGCCGCACGTGGCTCGAGACCTCTGGGGTCGACGGCATGAAAGCCATCGTGGCATCGGGGGTCTGGGGGTGGCGCGTCCAAACACCGGTCTCGCGCGTCGGGGCCGCACGTGGTTCGAGACCTCAGGGGTCGACGGCGTGAAAGCCATCGTGGCATCGGGGGTCTGGGGGTGGCGCATCCAAACGCTAGTCTCGCGCGTCGGGGCCGCACGTGGCCCGAGACCTCTGGGGTCGACGGCGTGAGAGCATCGTGGCATCGGGGGTCTGGGGGCGTCGCATCCAAACGCCAGTCTCGTTCGTCGGGGCCGCGCGTGGCTTGAGACCTCTGGGGTCGACGGGACGAAAGCCACTGTGGCATCGGGGGTCTGGGGGTGGCGCATCCAAACGCCAGTCTCGCGCGTCGGGGCCGCACGTGGCTCGAGACCACTGGGGTCGACGGCATCAAAGCCACCGTGGCGTCGGGGGTCTACTAGGGGTGGCGCATCCAAACGCCAGTCTCGCGCGTCGGGGCCGCGCGTGGCTCGAGACCTCTGGGGTCGACGGCATGAAAGCCAGTCCCACGGCGTCGGGGGTCTGGGGGTGGCGCATCTAACGCCAGTCTCGTGCGTCGGGGCCGTACGTGGCTCGAGACCTCTGGAGTCGACGGCGCGAAAGCCATCGTGGCGTCGGGGGTCTAGTAGGGGTGGCGCGTCCAAACGCCAGTCTCGCGCGTCGAAGCCATCGTGGCATCGGGGGTCTGGGGGTGGCGCATCCAAACGCCAGTCTCGTGGCGTCGGAGCCGCGCGTGGCTCGAGACCTCTGGGGTCGACGGCATGAAAGCCATCGTGGCATCGGGGGTCTGGGGATGGCGCATCCAAGCGCCGGTCTCGTGGCATCGGGGGTCTGGGGGTGGCGCATCCAAACGCCAGTCTCGTGCGTCGGGGCCGCGCGTGGCTCGAGACCTCTGGGGTCGACGGCGTGAAAGCCACCGTGGCATCGGGGGTCTTGGGGTGGCGCATCCAAACGCCCGTTTCGTGCGCGGGGGCCCTACGAATCTGCCGGCCGCTTGCCCCAGACTGGGGAAACGTCCGACTCGAGTGCGCCGAAACTCAGGTTTGCCGACGCTCTTTGACGAGCGCGTCCTGGACTTGGACGGCCCAGTTTCCGCGGGTGGTTTGCAGCGGGAGCTCGCGTCGAATTTCAGATTGGGTCTCGTCATGTTCATGATATGGAGGGGGCGCTCGTTAAGGAATGTGTCCAGGAGGCCGCAGGCCCTGTCGAATTCCTTGTCTGATGAGGGCGGTGGTGATATCCGTGGCCGACCCACGACTGCAGTTCCGCCCGCTTCCAGCCCGTGGGTTTCTGGTCCAATGCCCCGCGGCCAGGCGGCGCGGGAGCCATTGAGCGTAATGGGACTCCGCTCGCGCTGGCCCCGCCGCCGTTCGGTGCATGAACTGATTCAAGCCCTCGGCCGCGCAGATAGCAAAATGCCCCCGCCGTAGCCTCGTCGGGCCAGCCCGAGTCCCCCGATCCCGAGTCTCACGTGTCCCCAGCCGGGGCGCCACGGCTGTGAGGACCCAGCCGCCTGGGGTCCGAGGCAGACGGGCCTGCAGGGTTCATCGACCCCGGGCGAGGGCGGCGGCCCTCGTCCTCCATGGGTGGGAGAACACACACAGCCACAAATGAACGTCGAGTCCCGTGAAGATCTGGGAACGTAGGGGCAGTGGGGGGGGGAGGACGAAACTTCAGAGAAATATTCTGCAGAATTTGGGAATCCGGGGTTCTGCGTGCTCTTGCTTGTGTGCCCCTGGGCCCCTGCGATGCGTTCCGGACATTTGATATGTTCGCCATCTCTCTTGCCAGACCACCCCACCACCCTCGGAATGGTGGAAGCAGCGGCGAGGCGCGGGAGAGCGGACAGGTGAGAGTGCCGCGCTCCCGGAGGAGAAAGGCACGAGTGGGCACGCGACAATTTGTTCGGAAACCCTACAGGCCTCCGACGAGTTGTTTTTTTTGTTGAGGGCCCCTGGAGCTCTTGAGCCCTTCCCTGGGGCGGGCTCTTCATCCAGGATCGCTTCCTTTTCAAACCCTGGCGCGACGGTTTCACGGCGCCGCTCCCCAGTCGTGGAGGCGGGGTGGCGCTGCCTGAGAATGACCCCCGACGTCATGATTTGTTTCACGGCGTCGACCCCCAGAGTTCTCCACGCATTCGTCCTGGGTCGCTCTCTGGCGGCCCCGTGGCCCGGCGAGGGCCCCCATGGAGGCCGAAGATGGTTGAAAGCCTCCCGTCGTGGCTTTTGTTCGCGCTGCGCTGGGGTCTGGGACCTCGGGGGGCCGTCTGGTGCGCAGCCCCAGCAGGGCTCGTTTCGATTTCTCCGATTCGATCCGATTCTTCGATTTCGATGGCTTCCGCTTCCGATTCGCTTCGACTTGGGCTTCCGATTTGGATTCCGATGCCTCAATATGCAGGCCTACTAGCCTGCCGACCTCTGCCGGCTCAAATTCGCCCGACTCGGCGGCCGATTTCCGCCGATCCGATTCATTTCGATTGCCGATCCGACTTATCGATTCGATGTTGGGCTTTCCTGCCTCGGGGGGTCGTCTGGTGCGCAGCCCCAGGTCACGACAGGGCCCGAGGGCGGAGCAGTGGGTGCACCGAGTGGTCCTCTGTGGGGCGACGAGATCCGCACGCCTCCCTCGGGAGCGGTGCACCCGCCTCCCTGGCCAAGCCAGGAGGGCGCACACACCGCGCCTGGTCCCAGGATGGGAGGATGGGCTTGCCGTTCTACGCCGCTCTACTCCGCTCTGCTGCCGCTCCACTGCCGCTATATATATATATATATATACATATATATGTATATATATACATACAAACATATACATACATATATCTATATATATATAGAGAGAGAGATGTAGATCTCGCCGCTCTACTCCGAAGGTGCGAGGTGCGGGCGCTGGCCAGGCGGTGGCGCTCGGTGGCGGGATCCCGCTTCGCCCTGCGGCGCCTCGCGGCGCCCCGCTCCCTGCGCTTCTGCGTGGACTTCGAGGTGGACCGCTGCATGTCCAAGGATCGGCATCGCCCCAACGTGCTAATACCATGAGGAGGAGGAGGAGGAGGAGGAGGAGGAGGAGGAGGAGGAGGCGGAGGAGGAGGAGGAGGAGGAGGAGGAGAAGGGGGAGGAGGAGGCGTGCGTCGCCCCCCCCCCCCCCCCCCAGGGGCGACACGCGCACCAAGACATTTTGTAGTATGTGCGTCGTGGCGGGCGTTTTCTCGCCGCACTGCCCGGCAAACGATCTTCTACAAGATGGGTATGCGAGATGTCCGGATCGGACACGAGCCTCCAAGGAGTACATCTAGTATAAGATTGTATCTGTGCGTCCCAAGGGACTCCGCCCTCCGAGGGCCGCAGGCGCTGCACGTCGGCGTCCGACGGCGTGCACGCCACAGCCCCGGAGCCCGCGTCGCGCCGCAGGAAACTCACGGCGGGCGGTGTCTGGCCGTCTTGGTTGCTCCACTTGCCCGCCAGTCGGCGGCGAGCGAGGGTGGGGGGGACGGAGGCCGGGGGACTTCCGAGCCTTCCGAGGGGGCCCGCCCCCTGCTCACTTCCCCCTCTCTGGGCTCGCCGCAGATGCCAGTTGTCTCGCGCCCTCCCAGTCGAGCGCCCGAGCGGCCCCGAAGAGCTCGCGCGCCCGGCAGTCATGGGCTGCTCGGCCCGCTTCGGGCCGCCGCGTTTTGCTCTGCGAGGCAGCCGCGCGCTCGAGGGATGGGAGCCAGCCAGCACCTGGCCGGGCGAGCGCGCCGCACACTGACGCAGCTGAGGCCACCCAGCACAGACCAGCAGCAGCAGCAGCAGCAGCAACAGCCAGCCAGTGCGCGTGCGCCTTCCGTCCCGTGGCACGATGCTCGCAGGTGGCGCATGGAGCAGCGCATGGCACGCGCGCGGGGTGACCGTCGTTTTCTGCCTCTTGCAGCGGGCGACCTTCGGATAGGACAAGTTTCGATCCCAAAGTCCTGATCTTGCCAGCCGTCGCCTAACGCGGTTGTAGCAACGCTCCGGGGCGAGCGCAAGGGCGGGGCGGGGGGCAGGGGACTTACGAGGGGCATCGAGGAACGGGCTGCAGTCCAGCATTGTCCGCGCTGCTACTTTCGTGAGCGCGTCCAAGTCCTGGAGCAGGTCGCCGTTCCCGCCGCGCTCCCTGGCGCGCGTCAGCAGGGGCACCAGCCGAGCCGAATAAGCTGGCTGCTCTGGCACGATCGCGTTGATGATGTTGCCCCAGCGCGGCTCCATGCCCGCCCTGGTGGCCACGCCGATCGAGTTGTGCATGCCCATCATTGTTGTGACATCAGTCCTCCTCCCTCCCCCCTCCACGTTGAGGGCCTTTTGCTCCCGCTGCAGCGCGATGCCGCGATTGGGCTGGGCTGCATCCGAACAATATAGCCATACAGTTGTATGTACACATGTGCATCCATGTGTATAAATATGCATATATATGTATGCATCTATATATATGTATATATATATATATATATGCACGCGCACGTGCATGAAGAGGGGGCGGTGGCAACGCCTCAGCTGCTTGGGCGAAGCCCACGGCTATATGCATGCGTATACATATATATATACATAAATATATATATATATATATATATATGTATGTATATGTATAGGAATTCATATGCCATAGAGGCGCATGCATGTACACATATACATGTATAGATCTGGGGCGGCGGTGAGGCCGCAGCTGTTCGGACGAAGTCCGCAGAGCCAGGGACTACCTTCTCCACCGCGTTGGAGATGGCGGTCCACTTGAGGCTGTCTGTTCTGGCCTCACGGAACGACTGTTGGTCACATGTCTCCACGCTCCATTTGGCATTGTCCTCGGTGAGCTCTCCACCACTGGCGTCGTGCGGGGCGCCACTCACCGCCCGCAGGACGGCGTCGGCGCGGTTGCCCCCATGGCGAGCAGCCTCGCGCGATCCCCATTCACGGGGGGAAGGGGTGCAGCCCGCTCTTCCCCCCCAGCGATGAGACGGCTCCTGGTTGACGTTGAGGGCCTACGGGAGGGCCATCGTCTTGCGAGCGGCGAATCCAGCCTTCAATCCGCCGCTTGCCGCGGCACGCAGTGTCAGATGATCCCATTCGTGAAATGCCCCCGCTTGCCGCGGCAAGCCTCTCTCCTCGATGCCAGCCAGCGTGCCGCTGCGGCTCTCGAGGTGGACCCCCGCCGCGCAGGGGCGCTAGACTTTCGCCGTCTGCATGCGTTCCCGGGCGCCGGGCCGCAGCTCGACGGGGTGGGCTCTTGAAGCGCATGGGAAAGGCATGCGTGGCGGGGCGAGGCGGCGCGCTCCTATGGGAGGCGAGGAACCCTCCTGCGCGAGGCCCGCTCCGATCGCGCGGGCCTCCCCCACCCAGCCACGAGCGCACTCCCGGTCTTTTGTTTTCTCTCTCTCTCTCTTTTGTTTTGTTCTCTCTCTCTCTCTCTCTCTCTGTCTCTCCCTTTCTTTGTTTCTCTCTTCTTGGCGCGGCTGGCCATGTCGCCCGACGCCGTGCAGTCGGTCATCGCGCGCGCCGGAAGCGCGCGTGCGAAGAGGGCCATCGCGCGCGCCGGAAGCGCGCGGGCGAAGAGGGCGTGAGGTCGCGCGGGCACGGTCGCGAAGCGCAGCTGGATCAGCTGCAGATCGCGCGGACGAGGGAAAGGGCGCGGGCTGCAGCTCGCAAAGGGGGCCGAGCTGAGCTGCAGCTCCGCCCACTGGTCGCGCGCAGCAGAGAGGGGCGATCGAAGTATGGTGGAGGGCGAGCTGCAGCTCCCCCCGATAGCCACATTGAACTACAGCTCGCCCCCACCGCCGGTCAAGGTGCAGCTCGACCCGAGGGCCGGGGGCCTCGGAAGAACTTCCGATAGCCCAAACAGTGTGCTTCTAGCAACCTAATATGCGGTTCGGGGGTGGACAGACCTCCTGGAAGAAGACCGGTTCAACAGACGACTGGTTCAACAGGGACCGGTTCAACAGACGACCGGTTCAACAGACACCGGATCAACAGACGACCAGTTCAGCAAGGACCCGTTCAACAAAGACCGGTTCAACAGGTCTGGTTCCGCAGAACCGGTTCCACGGAACCGGTTCCACAGGACCGGTTCCGCAGGACCGGTACCACAGAACTGGTTCCACAAGCCCGGTTCCACAGGGCTGGTTCCACAGGACGGGTTCCACAGGACGGGTTCCACAGAGGCGATTCCATCCTGCTACTCTCTCCCATTACACTGCTGCTGCTGTTGCTGCTGCTGCTGCTCCTCCTCCTCCTCCTCCTCTTCTCCCTCCTCCTCCTCCTCATCCATCCCTCTCTGCCCTCCCGCCCTCCCCCACCCCTCGTTGCCGCTACGTCCCCCCGCCCCACATCCTCCCTACTTCCTCCTCCCCTCTCCTCCCTCATCCATCATCGAGGGCCACCCACCCGACCGACCCGACCCGTCCCGCCCGTTAGGGTCCGCCCGCCCGACCCGTCCCGCCCGTTAGGGTACTCCCGTGCCAACTCGATGGCTCATCATACTTTAATGTCCTGCCCGCCCGACCCGACCCGTCCCGCCCGTGAGGGTCCGCCCGCCCGACCCGACCCGTCCCGCCCGTCAGGGTCCGCCCGCCCGCTGGACCCGTCCCGCCCGTTAGGGTACTCGCGTGCCAACTCGATGGCGCACCATACTTTAATGTCCGCCCGACCCGACTCGACCCGCCCGTTAGGGTCCGCCCGCCAGACCCGTCCCGCCCGTCAGGGTACTCGCGTGCCAACTTGATGATGCACCATTATTTTATGTTCCGCCCGCTCGACCCGACCCGTCCGCCCGCCCGCCGGACCCGTCCCGCCCGTTAGGGTATTCGCGTGCCAACTCGATGGCGCATCATACTTTAATGTCCCGCCCGCCCGACCCGACCCGACCCGCCCGTTAGGGTCCGCCCGCCCGGCCCGACCCGTCCCGCCCGTTAGGGTCCGCCCGCCCGACCCGTCCCCCCCGTTAGGGTCCGCCCGCCCGCCGGACCCATCCCGCCCGTTAGGGCACTCGCGTGCGAACATGATGGCGCACCATATGCTAATGTCCGCCCGACCCGACCCGACCCGCCTGTTAGGGTCCGCCCGCCGGACCCGTCCCGCCCGTGAGAGCACTCGCCTGCCAACTCGATGATGCACCAGTATTTTATGTCCAGCCCGTTCGACCCGACCCGTCCCGCCAGTGAGGGTCCGCCCGCCCGACCCGACCCGTCCCGCCCGCCCGCCGGACCCGTCCCGCCCGTTAGGGTACTCGCGTGCCAACTCGATGATGCATCATACTTGAATGTCCCGCCCGCCCGACCCGACCCGTCCCGCCCGTGAGGGTCCGCCCGCCCGACCCGTCCCGCCCGTTAGGGTACTCGCGTGCCAACTCGATGGCGCACCATTATATTTTATGTCCGCCCGACCCGACCCGACCCGCCCGTTAGGGTCCGCCCGCCGACCCGTCCCGCCCGTTAGGGTACTCGCGTGCCACTCGATGATGCACCATTATTTTATGTCCCGCCCGCTCGACCCGACCCGTCCCGCCCGTAGGGTCCGCCCGCCCGACCCGCCGTCCGCCCGCCCGCCGGACCCGTCCCGCCCGTTAGGGTGTTCTCGCGTGCCAACTCGATGATGCATCATACTTTAATGTCCCGCCCGCCCGACCCGACCCGACCCGCCCGTTAGGGTCCGCCCGCCCGACCCGACCCGTCCCGCCCGCCCGACCCGTCCCGCTCGTTAGGGTACTCGCGTGCCAACTCGATGGCGCATCATTCTTTAATGTCCCGCACGCCCGGCCCGACCCGTCCCGCCCGTTAGGGTCCGCCCGTCCCGACCCGACCCGTCCCGCCCGTTAGGGTCCGCCCGCTCGCCGGACCCGTCCCGCCCGTTAGCGTATTCGCGTGCCATCTCGATGAGCACCATACTTTTGTATCCCGCCCGCCCGACCGACCCGTCCCGCCCGTGAGGGTCCGCCCGCCCGCCGGACCCGTCCCGCCCGTTAGGGTCCGCCGGGCCGCCGGACCCGTCCCGCCCGTGAG